AGCAGTCAGCAGTTAACTGTCAGCAGTTAGCAGTCAGCAGTTAGCAGTCAGTAGTTAACTGTCAGCAGTTAGCAGTCAGTAGTTAGCAGTCAGCAGTTAACTGTCAGCAGTTAGCAGTCAGTAGTTAGCAGTCAGTAGTTAACTGTCAGCAGTTAGCAGTCAGTAGTTAGCAGTCAGCAGTTAACTGTCAGCAGTTAGCAGTCAGTAGTTAGCAGTCAGTAGTTAACTGTCAGCAGTTAGCAGTCAGTAGTTAGCAGTCAGCAGTTAACTGTCAGCAGTTAGCAGTCAGTAGTTAGCAGTCAGCAGTTAACTGTCAGCAGTTAGCAGTCAGCAGTTAGCAGTCAGTAGTTAACTGTCAGTAGTTAGCAGTCAGTAGTTAGCAGTCAGCAGTTAGCAGTCAGTAGTTAGCAGTCAGCAGTTAGCAGTCAGTAGTTAGCAGTCAGTAGTTAGCAGTTAGCAGTCAGTAGTTAGCAGTTAGCAGTCAGTAGTTAGCAGTTAGCAGTCAGCAGTCAGTAGTTAGCAGTCAGCAGTTAGCAGTCAGTAGTCAGCAGTTAGCAGTCAGTAGTTAGCAGTCAGTAGTTAGCAGTTAGCAGTCAGTAGTTAGCAGTCAGCAGTCAGTAGTCAGCAGTTAGCAGTCAGTAGTTAGCAGTCAGTAGTTAGCAGTTAGCAGTCAGTAGTTAGCAGTTAGCAGTCAGCAGTCAGCAGTTAGCAGTTAGCGGTCAGTAGTTAGCAGTCAGTAGTTAACTGTCAGCAGTTAGCAGTCAGCAGTTAGCAACCTGAAAACTAAATGGCTCCTCTCTAATGTCTCATGACCGTGACCCTTGCCCTTTGACCTTTGACCCCCAAAATATAATCAGTTCGTCCTTGAGTCCTAGTGAATGTTTTTGCCAAATTTGAAGAAGTTCCCTCAAGTTGTTACTGAGATATCGTGTCCACAACAATGAGACAGTAGAATTGCACGTGAAGAAACTTCATTTNTCAAGTTGTTACTGAGATATCGTGTCCACAACAATGAGACGTGCGGACGACCTGAAAACAAAATGGCTGCTCTGTCTGGCGCCGGGCCGAGGAATAAAAACAAAAATAAAAAACAGTAGAATTGCACGTGAAGAAACTTCATTCGTGTTGAAAACAGGAAAAAATATTGTAAGAAAAAAAGACTTTTATTAGAAGTTTTATTTGTTGCATCGAGGATTTTGTGTTTCGGCATCATTGACTGATAAATCCTGTTTCCTCAGTGTGATGTGGTTCCAGGTGGCTCCAGGTGGCTCCAGGTGGCTCCAGGTGGCTCCAGGTGGTTCCAGGTGGTTCCAGGTGGTTCCAGGTGGCTCCAGGTGGCTCCAGGTGGTTCCAGGTGGTTCCAGGTGACGTCTCCTCCTCTGACTGATTGTGAACCCGTCCTGTGTATGAGCTGAGCTGCACACGTTACTCACACACTTCCCGCTGCTCGCTCTGATAAAGGCGGAGTGGCTCTGACTTGATTTGGAGAGCTGTTTACCACAGTGTTAACCTCTGGCCTAACGTCCCTCTGATTCCTCCTCTAATGACTGTGGGTGTGATTCATTTCATTCCGCAGCACCCTAATTGTCCCCCACTAATGTTGTCCAATCACTCTATCACTGATGTATCCTCTGACTTCACCTCATTAATCAGTGTTAATTATAATTGCCTTTTCTAGTGGTTGCCGTAATTGAATTAGAGCCAAGAGACCAAGGTAAAAGAGGTCAGTGTCGCAGGAAGTTGAGGTTCGCAGAGGAGAAAGAGAAGCGGGGGGGGGGGCGGCAATCAGGGAGAGAGAGAGAGATGAAGTTTAAACGAGACAGAGGAATGAAAGTGGACGAGTGGAGGGCATGTACCAGGGAGGATGATGACAGGGAAAATCATGACAGACTAATCCTGGAGCTGTCGGAGAGTTTGCTGTTCATTGTGTTGTAAAAGTGATTTCCCAGCAGGCTGCATCTGGTCCGGGCCGTCACACTGTCTCTACTTCATTTTCACACAGGAACATTTTCTCTCTGGCAAACAAAACCCTCTCCTTTATTTTATTTTTTTTTCTGTGAATTTCTTCCACATATTTGGTGTGAGTTTCAGCCACGGATCTGTTCCCATTTAAATACTGTAATAGTGCTCAACAGTTTCCCGCCGCGGTTAAAAGCAGACGCTCTTATCTCCGACGCGTCTTGGTGTCTTTGTGATGTGAGGACGATTGTTTCGCAGCCAAAAGCGCCGCAGCTGTAAAAACTCCTCCAGTGTTTGTGTCTGAAATCTGGCAGCGGCTGACGCTCGGCCGCAGCTTCAAGCAGATCCAGACGCCGTGTCCAGGAAACGAAATGAAGCGGGAGAGCGATGCCAGGAGCCGAGAGTCTGAGACAAACTTCAGACACGTTTCAGTCGTGTGAGAATCACATTAGACTGATGTTAAACTCCACATTTCATTATCTCTATCCCGTGTGTCCTCCTGTAAGAGACGAGCCCACAGGTCGTCTGTCAGCAGGTTGCCATGACGTCATAGTCAGGTGTTAAAGCGTCGGTGACGCAGTATAAAGAGAGACGAAAGCTGTGTCCTAACTGCGACTGTCCCATTTCAAAGGCTCCTTCAAACGCGTCCTTCGTTTCCTGGACAACGAAGGATTCAACAGTTGGATCCCTCATGGTCCAACATATCCCAAGATTCATTGCGCACCGGTGATGAAAATAACATGTCAGTAAACAACACTGACGGAGAGCCTGAGGATCACACTGTTAAGTGTCAGTATAGGGTTTCTAACTGCCGACCTTTAAACCTCAACCTACGACCACTAGGTGTCGCCTAGCAACAAAACTTAACTATGATGTCATGACAACCTGCGGCTCAGACGACCTGTGGGCTCGTCTCTCGCTGGACGACGGTTCCCATGTGAAACCACTCGTTTATGTTGTTTGACCGTTCGTTGTTGTGTTTGTAACCATGACAACAGAGGTCGACTAGTATCGAGGAAGTTACTTAATTCAACCAGGTGTAAGAGGCCGGTGAATCCAGGTGTTTATCATTGTAACCATCCATCATGTTGCTTTGATTGGATCTGTTAACGACCTTCTTCTTCTTCTTCTCCTTCTTCTTCTTCTTCTCCTTCTTCTTCTTCTCCTGGTGAAAAGCAGATGGTCAGTGGAGGGGGGGGGGGTCTCCTGCAGAGACACTGAGTGATGTTCAATCAAAAAGTGCTTGATCTGGCACATTGACTGTTTCTGGTAAAGTTCATTCACATTATGACTCTGTGGTGAGTTGACCAATCATGAGCTGGATATAGATCCTTCAAAATAACCAGGAAGCATCACATCTATAAATCCGTTATTGATCTGAGGACGTTCTGCTTGAGTTCTGGTGGTTCAGCTTCAGATCAGGATTTGAGGGTTGTGTGCAGCTTCCTGGTTCCGTGGACTTTGTTTCTTCATGACAACACGACAAATGACTGATGTCTGACACGTTAAAGACTAAATCTTTCATTCATGGAACAATCTGCTTCTGTTTTAATGATGAATTAATCTTCTTCTAAACAGCAATGTCAAACATTACCTCGTTCTTTTTCCTCAAACTTGAGACTTTGTCTGAAAGGACAGGAAACTTCATTTCTTTGGGGTTTGGACTGAAGGAAACTAAAACCATGTTTCTCTATTCCTGATATTTACAGAGCACATGTATGAGCACATGTATGAGCACATGTATGAGCACATGTATGAATGCTGAACTTATCTCTGACTGTGTTATCAGCCTCAGATGTGAGTCATGAGTCAGAGGAATGGAAATAATCATGAGTGGGAGAATGAGGGTGAAACTCAAGGTGAAGTCTGCAGGTAAGTTATTACAGTAATTAACAACTTATCAAAATGGTTGCTAATTAATTTTCTGTTGGTTTGTAAAATGTTTTATTTTGTTTATTTTTGTTTATTTTTTATCTTTTATTATATTTCAGTCTTTAAAATCTTGTTTTTATGGTTTTATTTTGTCTTGTTATCAAGTTTTTTTTACTTTGACTTTGGAAACCTGAATCTTCCCAAACTTTTTTTTAACAAACATCATTCCCGATCATGCCGAGTCCGTGCGTGCGTGCGCACGCGTGTGTGGTACTTGTTAGACACCTGGTGAGAGGAAGGTGAGAGAGAGAGAGAGAGAGAGAGAGAGAGTAGCGCTTTGAGTGTGTATCTTTATATATATATGTGTGTGTGTGTTTGTATATATGTGTGTGTGTGTGTGTGTGTGTGTGTGTGTGTGTGTGTGTGTGTTAGGGGGGAAGAGGGAGGGGGGGCGGTTTCTAGGTTTTCCTCAGTGTTTGCACGCGCTGGCTTTTCTGAAGGAGACACGAGCGGACGCGCGGGGCAGCTGGAGTGGATTAAGGTGCCATTACGCATCAGGCTGCGGAGTGAACACATTATTGTTATTATTATTATTATTGTTATTATTATTATTATTATTATTGTTATTATTGTTATTATTATATTATTGTTGTTAGTGCTGATGTGGGTGTGAGCGTGCGGAGCGGCAGAGGAGCAGCGCGTCCTCCGGCTCTGAGTCTGAACTACCGGGACCGTCACGCAGCCACCACCGGGGAAAGTTGGAGTAAGGCGGGAGGACGGTGACGGTGAGAGAGGCAGCGTCTGGATGTTTGGAGCGACCGGCTGACACAACCGCGGGAAAAGTCTCTCCGTCCATGGACCGAGCTCCCCGGATACACCGTGGATCCTGCCCCACCGGAATATGCGGACCTTAACGGACTCTGTCAACACTTGTTCCGGAGCCTCCGCGCTGGTCTGAGCCGCCGAAGGGAGGGGGGGGTGGGGGTCCAGTCTCCCGTTTAGACCATCTCCAGGGGTATTTGCTCGCTCCACCATGTCGGCGGCAGTTTTACCGGTTACCAGTGTAGAGAGAGAGAGAGTGAGTGAGTGAGAGACACCGAGAGAGAGAGGGAGAGAGGGAGAGCCGGGGTGAACCGGACCGGAGAGCGCGGGAGACCGAGCCTGTATTCATGACCTGTGGGATTACAGCAGCTGGACGCGAGATGATCCTGATTAATATCATCACTCTGGTGTTTGTGTTGGGTGAGTACACACGCACACACACATACACATACACGCACACACATACACGCACACACACACACACATACACGCACACCCACCCGTCCGCACATTCAAGGTGAGGGTCCAAACTGTCCATGCTGATTCTTGCTTTCTCATTAATACACCCTGATGGTTCTCCAGTGGTTATTAACTGCCCCCCCCCCTTACCTCACCCACCCCACCCCTCCTCTCCTTGAACCCCCCTGAGCCCCCCCCCCTATCATGCGGGTAAAGGTGCGTGATTCCGAAAACAACACCTTCAGATGGTTTTTAATAGGTCGAGTTTCTCTTCACAGTAAAAGCTTGAGTAATAACATCTCTCCATCTCTCTCTCTTCATGTGTCCACCTTCACTGCCTGTAGCTGTTTGAATGTTCTTGTACTTTCACCCATTGCTATGTGGATTTTCATACTTTTATTCTGAAATGAGTCTTTCTGCTCAGTGAGTACTTTTACTTCAGGTACATTTTGATGCTAATACGTTTAGCCTACATGTACTGCACACTGCTCCTGGTTCTGTGGTTGTTGTGTGAACTGCAGCGTCGACACCACTGTGGTGCTGTCCTTGGTCCTGGAACTGGTCCTGGAACTGGTCCTGGTCCTGGTCCTGGTCCTGGTCCTGGTCCTGGTCTGTTCCTCAGAGAGGTGTTTCATAGATTAGGCTCAGGAAAGCAGCTCTTATTTTGAAAAGCCTGCCTTGAATTAACCAAACAAGCTGAACCAGGATTCACCGGCCTCCTACACCTGGTTTTGGGGCTGATGAGAGCAGACTCACTCAGGTCAGGTGGTTGTTACTCTCTGACATCACACTGAGCACTGAACATTAACGTAGAGATGTGGATCTTTAAAGTGCGACATAGTAATAATAAACAGTTAATAAGCAGATCCAAGTGTTTATTAATGTTTGTTTCCTGCTCTGACTCCTGGAGGCTGCTGGAGAAACACATCATGAACTGGAATAATATAAAATATGTTGAACACTGAACATTGATAAACACTTAAAATCTGCTTATTTTTTAATTAACATTAACGTGGGTTATTGTTAATTGCAATACATACATTACATGCAATAAGGTAAAGAGTGATGCTGCAGCTACAGGTGAACGTTATCAGCTTTTTATTTTAATTATACAAAGTGCATCATGTGACAGAAATGAAGAGGAACCTTTGTCAGAACACTGTGTTGCAACCAGGCAGATTGATTGTAACACAGGTCTAGGACCAGGACCAGGTCCAGGTCCAGGTCCAGGTCCAGGTCCATGTGGAGAGTTAGTTTCCTTCCCTGAAATGGGAAATAAAGAATAAGACCTTTAAGGTGGTTCAGTCAATAAAACAGTGGAATCAGCCTTGAAACAGTTCACCAGTGGAGCGTGTAAAAACCCCCAGATCCCAGCAGACGTGGAGCAGGAGACGTGACCTG